GGAAGTGGAACATTTGACTTACTGCTCTGCCAACATTGTGCATATTAGCCCTGAGAAACTTCAAGCGAAAGGAAGGATCTTCAACGTATGCTCGATGCCGCTTTGCCACCTCTTGGTAGGTGGGATCGTGTTGCTGTTGCCGTTGAACTGTTTGATCGAATTTCGCAAGTAGCTCTTGCACAAGCTCGGGTGTTTCCTCCAGGTCATGTCCGACACAATGAATGTCTTCTAGGGCCTCATTTCTTTCTTGCAAACTCAGTTTGTTCAGTTCCGATGCAAGCATGCCTTCTGAGTCTTTCATTTCCTGCCGGGTATATTCTTGGCTTGCTGCCATGCTAGATAATATTGAGACTTCTGAATATTGATCATTAGACGTACCAAGAAAGTTGCATTGTGAAAGACAGAACGATGGTGATGATGATCTGTTTTGATGGTTCATGATGATGATGATTATCGTGCCATAAACTCATAAAATGACTGGAAATTATGGTGGCATGACACGCTTCTTGTAAGAGAGTCGAATTTCATGCGGGAACAAAAATGTGCTCGATGAAAAGCAGCTACTGAACATCTAATTGAAATTGAAACGTCAGTGAAAAATGTAAATCGAAACGTCAGTGAAAAATCGAAACGCCAGTGGGAACTCCTAAATAAAAAATCAGAAAAACGCACCTTTACGCTGTTCTCTGATCCAAACTTGGGACTTCGGTTAGCAGGGCCAGCTAGTATAGGATGGAAAAAATTGTTCGTTGATGCAAACAGTGGACTTGAAACAGCTTTTGTCGGGTGGGAGGTGGGAATACCAGCAAAAACTCATCAAACTTCCCCAAGTGAAGAGGTCTTGGGTCAAGGGTTGAGTCCTTATGATGGGTATCTAGTTGGAGAAGTAAATTTGCAATTTCATGTCACGGTTAACCGCAAAATCTATTTTTTTAAAAAGTGTCGTCTACTATATAGTTGGATAATGTGCAGAGTCAGTTCGGTTTAAATTTGTTTGCTGCGAAACCTAAGGTAGCAGTGGTGGTGGCAGTGGTGGTGCTTGCTGTGCCTTAGCTTCGCTTGTTCATACGGTTGCACTTGGTTTGCTTCGGCTATATCGCGGAAGACAGCATCCCAGATATCTTTGACTGCATTGGTAGTAACATAACAACGATGGCTACGAAGTAGGTGTTCGAATGAAGCTACTTCGAGAGACGGCTAGTACACTGATGAGGATGAAGGGGAAACCAAAAACGGAGACGGACGATGATAGACCTATGGGCAGAACAGCACGAGCAATATAAATAGTCAGTATATAAATAAAAACTTTCAACTTATCGTACGGCGGTAACTCTTGAATCTGTTATTCAAGGTTCGATCAACAGGGTCGGCTAACTGTACCATACCTATTCCACTAGCACAGGGCCAGCACCGTGTTTGTGCTGTATATGCTGGAAGTACGACAAAAAAGAACTTCTTACATTCAAGTTCCGGATATTCGGCTGCTGGTACCACAGGGCCACCATCGTTCGTCGCTACCTACGGTAGGTGACGGTCATTTTTACTTCCGTTTACGAAACTCTCGGAACAACTGCGCAATCTTTGTGTTGGTCTCTTTATCATTGCTCTTCACCCACACACCACTGTCTATTTGCTTCAGAAATCGCCTCCCCTCGGAACTAATGATACGACTGACCTCAGAAACGATCTCTTTTCTCCTGCTTCCAGGAGCAGTGTCATAGGCATCCCTGTATTTGGAAACCAGCCCTCGAAAGTGGATATTGCCTGGATTGTATTGGACCAAGCGGCCTCGTCCGAGCAAGATGTCGCCGTCGGTAGGTATTATGGGCGAATACTTCTCAACATTATTACCTGATGCTCCATGAGCAACAGCATTGCCTACCAACGCTTCTGGGTCATGATTGACTGCAATGGCCCCTTTGGATCCTCCTGCTGATACCAATGAATGAGCAGACGCATCAGGAACGATGCTACTCCGTCCCATCCCAGCAAGGTGCTCGTAGAACCAATCATTTCGAATATCCTCACGAAGAGTGCCCTCCGCATCGATGGGGATAGAGTCGACGTTGATGCCGTGGCTCCGAAGTTGGTACTGCAACTCGGTGTCACTGCCATAATGCAGACGACTCCTCACCTTACAGTAAGAATAATCCCCAACCACTTTGAATACGATTTTGAGTACTGAATTGAATGGGCCAAGCTTTTCTTGGCGTGCCTTTAGGCAATAGTGCGTCGCTGAGAACCGGATAGGAAGGCTTAGTATCATGTCGATGCTTGCCATTGTCAAGTTGATGTGTGGCATCGTAGGCTGCTTTTCTTTCTTTGAAATGTCGTATAAAACGTATACGAGCTGGAAAGGACGACGAGCAAAATAATATTAGTATAAGATCAACAAGAGTTGAGAAAAGGTGTACACACAAACAGTGAAATAGCGACGACATGTGTGCCGGTAATGGATGCATCCACTTACTCCTTTCATCTGCACTTCTGGGATCGAAATGAGAATGTTGAAGTAGACATAGTAAGCAACTCGACAATAGGATTCCGCACTGGCGCCACCAATAAGCTCCGGGATCGAGTACATAACGACTCTGCCGCTTCGATCTTTATCCTTTTGGATATGA